TAGGGTGTAACCGCTATTTCACACGCAACGTATTAGTGAGCAATGAGCTGAATCCAATGTTTGTATGGGGGTACCGTGGAATGAAGAAAAAAATATTTCACCAGGATAAAAGAGGACGTCAAATGAGATATAGAAATATCATTGAATAGGACTGGAATGCAGGGCGTTGAATACATAACCTACTTGTAAACGTTAATTAAACTGGATTGCATTGATAAGTCTTGTCAACATGCAAGTAGGTAGTGTTACAACAGAAGTGCGCTAAGCCTAGTCAAAATAAAATGGTGTAAAACTAGTAGGAACAAAAAGCCCCAGGAAATCTATTAAAAAAATCTCCGAATATACATTTTTATCTATCTTCTATTCCAAATCATTAACCTAAACATATATGTATATATTTTAAGTTTACATAAGAACTTAAAACATTTTTGTATACCGTTCATCGTCCGAATCGTTAATTTAGAAATGGCTTCTCTTCCTCCTATCACTTCAACTGCTACTACATGTACTACTACTTCTACTACTACTCTACCACAACTACCACTACTACCACCACTACTACTACTACTACTAATACTACTAATACTACTACTACTACTACTACTTCTACTACTTCTACTACTACTACTACAACTAGTACTTCTTATTATACTACTACTATACTACTACTCTACTTCAACTACTACTATTACTACTACTACTACTACTACTACTACTACTACTACTACTACTACTAATACTACTATTACTAATACTACGACTTCTACTTAAACTATACCTGTACCTGTTAGTACTAACTTTATTATCACTTCTACCACTACTACTACTACTACTACTACTACTACTTCTACTACTACAACTAGTACTTCTTATTCTACTACTACTATACTACTACTCTACTATACTACTTCTACTACTACTATTACTACTACTACTACTACTACTACTACTACTACTACGACTACTACTACTACTTAAACTATACCTGTACCTGTTAGTACTTATTTTATTATCACTACTGCTACTACTACCAATATTACTACTGCAGGGGGGGGGGGGTATGAGCACCATTTTTTTTTTAGGGGGGGGGGTTCGTGGGGGTGACTACTACTACTTTAGATCCTGGTACTATTTTATCTGTTTTTTTTTCTTCTTCTTTAAAAATTATTCTTGAACCCCCCCCCCCCCCAAAAAAAAAAAAAAAAATCATTATTATGTGTTTCATTACTTTACGTTAATGCGAATATAGGACACGCTGTGTTAAGGATGTGCTTATCAGTTTTTAACATTTAGCGTGGGTTGTTGAAAGGTTGATTGATATTTGCTGCAAGCAAATACATTTTGTTATGATAAAACTGGAATATGCGAAAAGTATTTTTATTGTTGATGTTTCTCAAAGGGAAGCAGCAAGAAGCTATTTTGATTGAATGCTCTTTTAAGGCAGAACGGGTAACACCCAAGTCTATTATTTCCAATCTCTTTGTCATTCATTGACGCTGTTTGTCGCAATATTGAAGATTAACAATAGATATGAGGCCAACTGAGCGCGTCCCCCTGATTCAATAATTGCCCATTTTTGTAGTTCCGGGGTGCGACCACATCTACAATATAATATATTTTCTGAATGAGCTGAGGTGGAATGATTATTAACGTCCTCTCCTCCTCCTACTCAATCTCCTTCTACTTCTTTTTTGTCTATTTTTGTCATTCTTTCTTCATCCACTTCAGGGGAATTCAAACTTGATAACGAGTTGCTTTATAGATTTGATAGAAATTTTCTTGAAAGTACATGAGTGTTGAATTATGCGTTCGGGCAGAGAATGGCTATGTTTTCCTTCCTGAAACAGAATAGGTTACAATCGTAGTGAAAAGTATTCCCGTTGCAGATACTTTGTGCCTATTTTGAAAATAAGTCAATAACTATAGAAGAAGATGACTTCTATGAAACTTGTTCAAAAAAATGATTTTACTGATGAAAGGGCTAAATAATCAGTCTGTTTGATAGTTTTGACCACTTTGATGTAATGCAAGGAAACTGCCTAAATACTATATTTCCCCAAACTATGCTATTATTACCTTAAAAGTCAGCTGTAGTTCTGATAATATTCCAATTAACAATAACATTGGAGACGCGTGACCGATTCGCCTGTTTGATATTCTCACCCACTTATGGTAATTATACGTATTTATGCTTTTATAACATTATAACTAAATGTCGAGTAACTATTTAATTTATGGAAGTAACTACATCGAATAGCCAGATATTGATCTGTTTGGAGTCAGTTTGATGGTGTGATTAAAGTATTCGACCATTGCCCCTTCACCCTCCACCCTCCCCCTCTCTCTCACCCCCTTCGTCTGCTTGGACATAATTCATATTTCCCATTTTATAAACTGAATAATTTTCATTTGATTGATGTAATCCTAAATAGAATTGCATGAAGAATTATAGAAAAGATTATTGTTCTCATAGCTAAAGTTGACCTGGTGATCGTATACAGTGGTTTGAAAATCCATTGGGTGTTGTAAGAGTTCAGATTTTATGGCCTAATATCAATAGATTATAACATGAAAAGAAAAAAATCCACGTCAAACAAGGTCAACGAAATACGCCCTTGGCCCCACATTACCTTTAAGGGAAGCCCTGTCCTACAAAATCAAGGTTGGTTTGGAGACGGTGTGTCTTGGGTTTAATATACTGTTTTTTTCTGAGGTGTGAAGACAAAGTGCAGTTCGGGGTCATATGACAATCAATTCCAAATAAGTTTTATATCAAGCGGCCACACCCCACATTTATCCTCATCTCTACAATGACAAGAAGGAAAACTCGATTAGTAAAATATGAGCTCGGATCCACCGTTGATAGAATTCAAATGATTTACATACTTCATCGTGACGTATCTGTACAGTATTATCACATTATGCAAACAAATCTTTTAAAAGAGGGGAAATAATAACCTGATGATCACGTACGGTGGTTTGAAAAAGTTTTATATGAAGCGGCCACACTCCTTCACTTAGAAATCCAACTACCCCACATTTCGTCGCTGTTTTCACGAAGTGACGGTAGTGAAAAAAAATTGCATTCACTTTGCGTTACGATTTTCCTCACTACCGTCACTTCGTGAAAACAAGGACGATTTATCATCATCTCTACAATAACAAGAAGAAAACTTCGATTGTTAGAATAGGAACTCGGATCCTCTCCACAGACTACAGATGATTAGCATACGTCATCTCTGACGTATCTGTGCAGTATTATGGGCATAAAACAAATCCTTAAAAAGGAGAAAACTGTATGTTTAACATTTACATAGTGATGCGACTTGTCAATATAAAGAAACCGAAGATTGTACGAGACAGCAAGGAGTATGTTTAGAGTGTAGGCAACATATCAAACTGTGATGTAAAGTTAAAGGGATAGTTGAGTTCTGTTGCAGAGGGCGCTACACAAAATAATTTTTTGTGATATAATGAAAAACTGAGTGTCAAATTTGAAAGAACATAATATTTTAATGACAGAATCATCTTTGTTTGATCAAAATCAGTTCAGAGACGGCTGAAATACAACGATTTCTAATACTTGTGTACCACCACAAATATTAGATATTTTGAAAAATTTGAGAAAACCGTTGAAAAAAACGAAATAACGCCTTTCATGTCGTATTTCAGCCAATGCCGATGTTGGCTTTTTTGTTGGCATTTTCGTGCTGCTGATATTACGCACAACCAGCCGGCCCATGTATTGTTATTTTTAATGAAATAATTAATTAACGGTCACCATGTTTTTTTTAAGTGGAGCTGAATTAATATGATCGTATTGGCTAAATTTCACACATTTTGGGTTCTAATATTACCTTCATAGCAATTTTAGGTTCTAAAAGGGCACAATTGTCATAGATAAGAATAAGAGCAATAACCATGAAGTTGAATACATTTGCGGTCTGAAAACAGAACTCAACTATCCCTTTAAGATCTAAAAGGGCACAAATACTGCAAACATAATCAGAGGCAGATATTTTGTATGAATTGGGATGAAAAGGGGGTTGATTCCCCCTCAGGGAATCTACCAGTAGTACGTGATAGGTAGAAAAATGCATAGTCCTTGCGCAGACACCGGCAAGTGCGTCGGGAGGGTGACAAAGCCACCTCAATAATTATACTGGATAACATTCTCGACTAAAGGAATTCTATTCAATTCATTGTCGGTTGACTGCACCCACTGTGGGTTTTCATTGCAAGTTGGGACTTTTTCAAGGGTGAATGATAGGTGAGGTTTGGCATTTTAAAAGAAGAAAAAAAATCATTGTATGGTAGACCACAGTATCTAGCCATAATAATTAAACTCTGTTCATAATGACTTGATTTTATGACATTCTTTCATCATGAGTATGGCATGATTTGAAAGGGACATGACTCCCTCTCATGCAGTGCACTAAGGAATGAGGTACAAAATAGGATATATCATATATTTTCCCACTCCAGTGATGATTTTTTTTTAATATCTGAAATAGACTAGCATTTTGAGTGAAAACTGCCCACCTTCCCTCTTTAATACACTAGCCACAATAGACCGACACAAGACAAAAGCCAATTTTATAACAATTTTACGTTACTAGAATATATGGCAGATAAGTTCTGCATACTACTTTTAACCCCTCTCAACAAACAAACAACAACAATACTGAACTGGACTATATTGAACACCATGTTCTTTTTTGTTAAAATTAGCACAATGAGAAAGATGATTGAGAAAGTAAACTTTAAGTTTGATAGTTGGTTGAGTAGTGCATAGTGATAGGAAATACAAAGAGACATAGCTTTAATGAAACAGAAAATGAAGGAATAAATGGATGTGTTCATGACGGGTCCAAGTTAAAATGGAGAGAGAGAGAAAGAGGGAGAGAGAGAGAGAGAGAGAGAGGGGTGGGGAGGGAAAAACGGGAGTATTATGGGGAGGAAAGAAAAAGAGGAAGAGGGAGAGGGGTTAGAATAGGGGAGGGAAATAAGAAAAAGGGTTGTAAAGCAGGGGTAGGGCAGGGGAAGAAAACAACAAGAGAGAGAGAGAGGGAGAGAGAAAGAAGGAGTTGAGGCGGAGAGGAGGAGACGAGAGAGAGATATAGAATTAGCACAGCTCTGATGTTTGATTTTATTACTGTTTTCATTGGTTTCTTTGTTTCCTAGTTCCATGGCGTTTTAGCAGCATCAACAGAATCAGTAGGTGCGACTCTGACAAGCACATCTTCTGATTCGTCGTCAACTACCATGTCTATGGTAACTCCTACATCAGAATCTCCTTCATCCATGACATCTATGCCAACAACAGAACCTGTAGGTGCAACTCCAATGAGCACACCTTCTGATGCATCATCAACTACCATGTCTATGGCAACTCCTACATCAGAATCTCGTTCATCCATGACATCTATGCCAACAACAGAATCAGTAGATGCGACTCCAATGAGCACACCTTCTGATGCATCATCAACTACCATGTCTATGGCAACTCCTACACCAGAATCTCATTCATCCATGACATCTATGCCAGCAACAGAATCTGTAGGTGCAACTCCAATGAGCACACCTTCTGATGCATCATCAACTGCCATGTCTATGGCAACCCCTACATCAGAATCTCCTTCATCCATGACATCTATGCCAACAACAGAATCTGTAGGTGCAACTTCAATGAGCACACCCTCTGATTCATCATCAACTACCATGTCTATGGCAACTCCTACATCAGAATCTCCTTCATCCATGACATCTATGCCAACAACAGAATCAGTAGATGCGACTCCAATGAGCACACCTTCTGATGCATCATCAACTACCATGTCTATGGCAACTCCTACATCAGAATCTCCTTCATCCATGACATCTATGCCAACAACAGAATCAGTAGATGCGACTCCAATGAGTACACCTTCTGATGCATCATCAACTACCATGTCTATGGCAACTCCTACACCAGAATCTCCTTCATCCATGACATCTATGCCAGCAACAGAATCTGTAGGTGCAACTCCAATGAGCACACCTTCTGATGCATCATCAACTGCCATGTCTATGGCAACCCCTACATCAGAATCTCCTTCATCCATGACATCTATGCCAACAACAGAATCTGTAGGTGCAACTTCAATGAGCACACCCTCTGATTCATCATCAACTACCATGTCTACGGCAACTCCTACATCAGAATCTCCTTCATCCATGACATCTATGCCAACAACAGAATCTGTAGGTGCAACTCCAATGAGCACACCTTCTGATGCATCATCAACTACCATGTCTATGGCAACTCCTACATCAGAATCTCCTTCATCCATGACATCTATGCCAACAACAGAATCAGTAAATGCGACTCCAATGAGCACACCTTCTGAAGCATCATCAACTACCATGTCTATGGCAACTCCTACATCAGAATCTCCTTCATCCATGACATCTATGCCAACAACAGAATCTGTAGATGCGACTCCAATGAGCACACCTTCTGATGCATCATCAACTACCATGTCTATGGCAACTCCTACATCAGAATCTCCTTCATCCATGACATTTATGCCAACAACAGAATCTATAGGTGCAACTCCAATGAGCACACCCTCTGATTCATCATCAACTACCATGTCTACGGCAACTCCTTCATCAGAATCTCCTTCATCCATGACATCTATGCCAACAACAGAATCTGTAGGTGCAACTCCAATGAGCACACCTTCTGATGCATCATCAACTACCATGTCTATGGCATCTCCTACATCAGAATCTCCTTCATCCATGACATCTATGCCAACAACAGAATCTGTAGGTGCAACTCCAATGAGCACACCTTCTGATACATCATCAACTACCATGTCTATGGCAACTCCTACATCAGAATCTCCTTCATCCATGACATCTATGCCAACAACAGAATCTGTAGGTGCTACTCCAATGAGCACACCCTCTGATTCATCATCAACTACCATGTCTACGGCAACTCCTACAACAGAATCTCCTTCATCCATGACTTCTATGCCAACAACAGAATCAGTAGATGCGACTCCAATGAGCACACCTTCTGATTCAACATCAACTACCATGTCTACGGCAACTCCTACATCAGAATCTCCTTCATCCATGACTTCTATGCCAACAACAGAATCAGTAGATGCAACTCCAATGAGCACACCTTCTGATGCATCATCAACTACCATGTCTACGGCAACTCCTATATCAGAATCTCCTTCATCCATGACATCTATGCCAACAACAGAATCTGTAGGTGCAACTCCAATGAGCACACCTTCTGATGCATCATCAACTACCATGTCTATGGCAACTCCTACATCAGAATCTCCGTCATCCATGACATCTATGCCAACAACAGAATTTGTAGGTGCAACTCCAATGAGCACACCTTCTGATGCATCATCAACTGCCATGTCTATGGCAACTCCTACATCAGAATCTCCTTCATCCATGACATCTATGCCAACAACAGAATCTGTAGGTGCAACTCCAATGAGCACACCTTCTGATGCATCATCAACTGACATGTCTATGGCAACTCCTATATCAGAATCTCCTTCATCCATGATATCTATGCCAACAACAGAATCTGTAGGTGCAACTCCAATGAGCACACCTTCTGATGCATCATCAACTACCATGTCTATGGCAACTCCTACATCAGAATCTCCTTCATCCATGACGTCTATGCCAACAACAGAATCTGTAGGTGCAACTCCAATGAGCACACCTTCTGATGCATCATCAACTGCCATGTCTATGGCAACTCCTACATCAGAATCTCCTTCATCCATGACATCTTTGCCAACAACAGAATCTGTAGGTGCAACTCCAATGAGCACACCTTCTGATGCATCATCAACTACCATGTCTATGGCAACTCCTACAACAGAATCTCCTTCATCCATGACATCCATGCCAACAACAGAATCTGTAGGTGCAACTCCAATGAGCACACCTTCTGATGCATCTTCAACTACCATGTCTATGGCAACTCCTACATCAGAATCTCCTTCATCCATGACATCTATGCCAACAACAGAATCTGTAGGTGCAACTCCAATGAGCACACCTTCTGATGCATCATCAACTACCATGTCTATGGCAACTCCTACATCAGAATCTCCTTCATCCATGACTTCTATGCCAACAACAGAATCTGTAGGTGCAACTCTAATGAGCACACCTTCTGATGCATCATCAACTACCATGTCTATGGCAACTCCTACATCAGAATCTCCTTCATCCATGACATCTATGCCAACAACAGAATCTGTAGGTGCAACTCCAATGAGCACACCTTCTGATGCATCATCAACTACCATGTCTATGGCAACTCCTACATCAGAATCTCCTTCATCCATGACATCTATGCCAACAACAGAATCTGTAGGTGCAACTCCAATGAGCACACCTTCTGATGCATCATCAACTACCATGTCTATGGCAACTCCTACATCAGAATCTCCTTCATCCATGACATCCATGCCAACGACAGAATCTGTAGGTGCAACTCCAATGAGCACACCTTCCGATGCATCATCAACTACCATGTCTATGGCAACTCCTACATCAGAATCTCCTTCATCCATGACTTCTATGCCAACAACAGAATCTGTAGGTGCAACTCTAATGAGCACACCTTCTGATGCATCATCAACTACCATGTCTATGGCAACTCCTACATCAGAATCTCCTTCATCCATGACATCTATGCCAACAACAGAATCTGTAGGTGCAACTCCAATGAGCACACCTTCTGATACATCGTCAAATGCCATGTCTACGGCAACACCTACACCAACTTCGTCATCCACTGAGGTAGCAACCACGAGTGGGCCTGCTGCAACCACGAGTGGGCCAGCTGCAACCACGAGTGGGCCTGCTGCAACCACGAGTGGGCCTGCTGCAACCACGAGTGGGCCTGCTGCAACCACGAGTGGGCCTGCTGCAACCACGAGTGGGCCAGCTGCAACCACGAGTGGGCCTGCTGCAACCACGAGTGAGCCTTCTGCAACCCCAATGCCAGGTAATTTAGAATGATACACAGCCGCATCCTAAAAAGTGACAAAACAAGTGTTTCTGATTTTATTTGTTAAATGAAATTCAAGTACATTTGAATTGTTTTTAGGATGGTTAGGGAGGGAATCGATTAAGATAAATCTTTGATTAATCAAAAACTGAAATATGACAGGGGAATGCAATGTCATTCCTTTAAAAAATAGTCATGTACATACCAATTGGAGTAAAGCACATACTTCAAATATATTGCTCTGGAATGCTTGATTTGTCACACAAATAATTTAGTTTTGAATCCTAGGATAATTGTCAGGAATAAGTTTTTATAGTCACGTATGAAGTTGTAACCATTCAAATCTTAGACCAGATTCCTTCTTTATTGCAAGACAAAATTCTTAAAATTAAAGACTCGTATTCTTGGTACCTCGGTATCTTTATGTTCCAGCTGATTAATAACGAGTTACCTCTCCCGATTTCCTCCATTTTCCAAAAAAATAACGAGATACATTCATACCCCACAAGACAGTCGAATCACTTCCACACTCCTCGAATAAGAACAGCTTTCGCACAAAAGACAATTATTTACACCGGTCCAGTATATTGGAATAACATAGATCCATCACTTAAACAAAATATTAGTCTATGCATCTTTAAAAAAAAGTTAAAGACTAAACTTTTAGACACATATAGATGTACATGATAGAATCTCGGTTTGTTTGACTCTCGACTCAATCTCTTTCCCAATCTCCCTCTTCTAGAGCTTTTGTTTTTGTCTTCTACTGCTTTCCTCCATTCATTTTTTTTTCTTTTCTTTTCTTTTTCTTCCTCATTTTCTTCTTCTTTTTTTTTCCTTCTTCCTAGCTACATATTGTCTATTTATTGATCTATAAGCATATTTTGTTCATGTTTTATTGTAAAATCTCTTTCTCAATCTGCCTTTTCTAGAGCTTTTGTTTTTGTCTTCTACTATTTTCCTCCATTCATTTTTTTTCTTTTCTTTTCTTTTTCTTCCTCATTTTTTTCTTCTTTTTTTTTCCTTCTTCCTAGCTACATATTGTCTATTTATTGATCTATAAGCATACTTTGTTCATGTTTTATTGTAAAATTTGCATCTGAGGAACTAACACTTCAACAAGCTCTGCTTCAAGTTAGTTCCTCTTTTCTCGTGCTATTTCCACTATATTTATCGTTTCATTACATATTTGTTGTGATATAATTATTTTTGTATTATGTTTTGCATGAGAAATAAAAAAATCCAAAAAAAAAAAAAGATTAATTGAAAATCTTCAAAGGAGATCACTCAATCTAAATGTAATAGTCACATTGACATGCAAATTAGTCATGTTTCAAACATAGTTCAAAATAATCTACAGTTTGTTTACTACAATCGGTTGTGTAGTTACTTTGCCAAATCTAGGTTCAAGGGACTTTTTTCTCAAATTTTTACCTCTGATCATAATATCTATCAAATTGAATCTATAAATATGTCGGTAGTAAGCAAATAATTACCGTTGGTAAAGGTGATGGGACAAACTATCACTTCCGAGACAATCTGGCTGTAGCTACGTTTCCAAAGCAAACAGTGTTACAAACTTTTCTTCTCCCATTAATGATGGGCGAACTATCTTTCATCACATGATTTACTTTTGACCAATCGTATAGCGCAAGATTCTTTGTATGTGGATTATAATCAGAAATATTTTGTATTTAATGGTTTCTTATGCTTTTTATTTGCATTCAATTACTCAGAGATCGACCCATGTTCATCATCTCCGTGCCAAAATGGAGGCGAATGCTCATCAAATAATGCTGTTTATTTATGTACATGTCTGGACACTCACGAGGGAACCAATTGTGAAACAGGTATGTCTTTATGACCCTTTAATATATCTTTGTTTAAATCATCGGAACATAGCTTGTACCGACGTGTATAAAACACAATCAAGTTTGGCGGTAATGTACTTTCACACCAGAGGTGCTTCATTCCGCCACACGAAAGTTATATGCAGAGTCTACATGTATATGGAGAGGGAATGAGGAAACCAATGCGTGTGAGGAATGAAGCAGCCTGGTGGCGGTGCAAAAGTATACTTGCGCCTTAATTTATTCCCTCTGTTAATTTTACAATCTGTTTGTATAATTTGAAACAAACGTTTGACTTATCATCCTTTTCATGTAGTTTGTATGTTGTAGGAATACAAAATGTGAATAATATTTCGGCACAGTATATTGTTAGAAGACCTCACCAGTGATACTTCGGGGCACTAATAATGTGTGAGTACGCTGTTTGGACATAATAGACATCTGACTAGTTTCTTCTGGGGCAGTGAAATTCTCTCATTTCCCCCCCCCCCCCCCCAATCAGGGCGATTTTTAAAAAAATCATGACTTTTTCCCTGACTCGCCGGAAAAGATAAACTCACATGTCAATTTACAGATTTTCCCAGATTTCCCAGATTGCTTGAAACCTACATGTAGCTGTCTTAAGATCTCTCATTAGGGACTTTTAGATTCGCACGAAGACAATGGGGATTGCTACGGTCGACGTCCTTTTAATGCACTGCCTTGAATAGACGTCACACGTATCAGTCCACGCAAATCTAAAAGTCCCTATTTAATTGTTGACACCGGACGTACAACAAATATGTGAACAAACACAATGTACGAACATGGGACTTTTTAATTAGGAGTTCACCTAATGAACGATTATGGGGAAATGAAAGGAAGGGACGGTCATACTCCATGGGTTAGAATATTTTCATGGGAATTCAAATAAATTTCCAGATCCTACTTCATTGATCACTTTAATGTTATCTTTTTAATATCCCCTTGTATCTTACTACATGTGCTTTTTCGTTTTTTCGACTACCATTAACAGCCAAGACTGGCTGCAGTAGTAATACCGGATGCCCCACAAGAGAGAGCTGCAATTCCGACACTAACGTGTGTGAATGTAACGGGAATTCGGTGAGGAATGCTAACGGTGTCTGCAGAGGTAAAGTCCTACATTCATTCATTTACCCCACTTACAATATAATAAAATAACATTATTACTAAGGGCTACCAACCAGGCCCATAGCCACAGGGGGGGGGGGATGTGCCCCCAAAAAACATTGAACTTGTGATGGTTTCTAGAACGCTGCCCTGAAAACAGGCATTCATGCTCATCAACATTTGAATGGTCAGATGAATCCATTTTTGCAAATTTCTTTCATAGACTTGTTTATTGTTAATGGCTATATGTCATGAGTGCGTCTATATTGAAAAGAGAGCATTATTATACATTTTGCATATTTCTAGTTTTTTCAATTACAAAAAAAATGTCTCATACAGAAGAACAAGGCTTTGGTTTGGATGAATATTGAGCAATAAGATAATGTCAGGAAAAATTATTTTATCATTTTCAAAATGTATTCGTCTTTATACACCTTTACCTAGCGATGAGGTATACATTAATGCTATTGAAATACAAGTATTCATAACAGGGGACTGAATTATTTCATAAGAGGGCACTGAACACAGACGTATACATTAAATGCAATTAAATTACCGAAATGGCCTATTAATGTATTCATCTTTACTCTCTTACTTATTCATTTATAAATTCAAGTTCCCCGCCGTACATTGTCGTTGAGCATTGTGATCGTGGAATTCCAAAGCAACACAGATTTCCGAGACATCGTCAACAATCCTACCTCGGTAGAATCTATGGACGTTAGACAGCGCCTTACTATCATCGTAAGTTACTTTCAAACATTTAAAGGGAAGGTCTAGTGTCGAGAGTGAACATAATGTGTGGGCTTTCTCAATCTTATGCCAGTTTGGACAAATATCATAATACAAATGCACCCCCTCCCCCCCCCCCAAAAAAAAGAAGATAATTGTTCTTTAAATGAAATATGCCTAAATATAAGGTTTGAACCCAACTATCATGCCACATGTTTGAACAGTCCAATATGCCCATGTATGTGTTTCTGTTCCAAATTCACAAATTACTTGGTGCTATAATGCATAATCAGCCTTTCCAAAGAACTTTTAATAAGTTTACTTTACAATGCCATTGCTTGACCAGTACACAAGTTTGGCTCTCATCAATTCTTTGGTAATACTCTTCTAGTAAGAAGGCATTTTAAATCTTCTAAAATTGAAAGCCTCCTGCCTTGGGCTGTTTAATATGTCATATAAGAAGCTTGGTATAAATAATTATCTTATAGCAAAAAAGGCAAGAAAATGCTACAAATGTATGGGTGCTTATTATTATTGTACACCTGTAATTCTGTGCAAACGCCTTTCTTAGTTATGTTTTAAGTGGAAGACTAAACTATAGTACATCACCTACCACATCTGAGATTTTGGCATATACATGTATTTATAACTGATCAAATTCATTTGTCATCTGCAGATCTTTGCTATATACCGAAGCCGATATGGACCCGTCTTCATCGGCGTAGTCATCAGAGGCTTCTCTTTAGGGAGTCTCGAAGTCGACGCCGATCTCATGTTCGATGAACCCGAAAACGCCACGACCATACAACCCCCTACTGCAGCTGAAGCAGCCCAGGAGTTTATGGATAGTCTCGAGAATGGAAACTCTACTGGAGGATTTGTCTTGGTCCCATCAAGGACAACCGTTACTGGTGAGTAGTGCTCCTCCAACATATTCATCAGTGAAAAAATCAGGGATTCCACGTTCCAAGAAAATGTCATTGTTTTAAGGGAAAGTAGGGAATTTTATTAAGTGTTAAGGACAAAAGAATTTTTTTAAATCAAGAAAACTTGAAGACATATCACAAAAAATCAACCAAGTATGTGTCTCTTGTACAGGCATTTCTGGAATCTACACACACAAAAAAGCATAAGAATACATAATGAAATGTCCATGCAAGGAAAAGTTCCTATAAAAGTTCCCAGCCCTGCTCCAAACACCATTACAATACTTCGATGGTTACAATTACTTGTCTCATGCAAACTTGTCTATATGGATATCTTTTTTTTTTGGGGGGGGGGGGAGGGGCTTGTTTTCATTTGTTGTGTTTTTAAATCAAATGGGCCTACATTTTAATGTTGTTTTCCCCTTGTTGTCTTTTCGATGTAAAAAAAAAGTCTCTAGAAATTTCTCAATCATATTTGTTAATTTTTTTTCTTCAGATATTAACGAGTGCTCCAATAGCACATTGAACGACTGTAGCTCGTATGCAGAGTGCACTAACACCCAGGGTAGTTTTTCATGTGCATGTCAAGAGGGGTTCATAGACACCACTCCTGCACCAGATCGCGGAAGACAATGTGAAGGTTAGTTTTGATCACCGGTTACTGTTCAGATGTGACATAGTAACCTTTTGCATAGAGGGGGGGGGGGAGAATAAAAACTTTAAAAAATCATCCCTCTCTTTTTCTCTGTCTCCTTCTTCTTCTTGAAAGGAATTTTCATCAAGAAATTCATTTCCTGGGTGAATAGTGCCTCATTCTCTCAGGGCATTGGAACTGCTACTCTTGAATTTTAACAGGGCAAAATAAATGTCGGTCCATTTAAAGAGTATAGGACTCCCTAATTTATCCTTTCATCAAAATGATCCAATCATTTACTACCAATTATGTATATAGTAATAGCGTGTTCTGTGTCAATCAGATTGTAATTCAAATACAGAACAAACTCGACTTCTGAGAAAAAGGGAGACAATGTATTTTATTGACAATTTACAAAAATCAGAGATTTGATATATTAGATGGGAGGTCTGTTATAGAACCTATCTCTATGAATCTTTGCCATGTGTCTCGTATCAGTCCAGCCATTATTAATCTTCATGCATTAACCTTTTTGTTGTCAGATTTAAACGAGTGTAGTGATGCAAGTATTTGCGCCCAGTATGCTACTTGTTCGAACTCTGTGGGCAGCTATTCGTGTTCATGTTTCGTGGGCTTCACCGGCGATGGAAGAACATGCACTCCAGGTAGATCTATCTTTGCAATTCAATATTACTTTGTTCCTTTCAAACATGAATGTAGAGGAAATTAAAAAGTGTAGAGGGGATTATTCTCATTCAAATCAGACACAATCATATCTTTATCCACAAAGTCAATAGGAAAATGATTTCATATCAGAGCATTGAGTCTAAAATTCCATACAAAATGAGGGGTGTATTTGGAGTGTGTGTGTGTGCGTGTGCGTGTGTGTGTGTGTGTATATGTGGGGGGGGGGGTACCCTTTTAAACTGGGAACCAGACAAAACTTTCATAGCCCTTTCAACTCTGCATGCTCCGAATTTGTTTCTGTACTAAAAAAAAAGTTATGTTTATGCAACTTTCTCAATCTTACAGTTAATCTGTCTAGATTCCCCCAAACTATACAAATGATGGGCATTTTTACAATCAGAAAACTGTTATGCAAGTCTTTTGTAACCACTTATATTATAGCATTGGGGGTTTCTAATTCTTCAGCAAATCACTTTACATAATGCAGTTGAAGGGTTCTTATCACAACTGTAACACTTCATTCAGACCTTTATATATTACTTTACATAATGCAGAGTTTTCTTAGTTTAACCAGTTTGATATTTTTTTTTACACATTACACAGATGGGTCAGCAGGCCTCAGCGACGGAGCCCTAGCCGGCATTGTCATCGGGTGTGTGGTAATCGTCTTCCTCATATTATTCCTCTTGATGGTGTTGTACATCAAAATGCGTCGGATGATGTCTTATGAAAGAAAATTAGCAAGGTCAGTCAGTCGATTTGGACCAATGGACAGAGAGAGAGAAGCCATGCCATTTGGAAACGGCAACGGCAATCAGAGAGACAGTTATCCATTGGCCGACTACCCGTCCGACATGGAACTCGGCCACATGCGTAAGCCCGGCTACTCCAATGGTGCATACACGTCACATGTAAGTAATTCATTTGACTTTCTGTTATATGATCCGTTTACTAATTTTATGTATACTTTTTAAATAAAAGTTGATGTTGATGACTGAAAAGCTTGCCAGAAAGTTGACCGACACAGCAACAACTTATGTACCTTTTGTATGCAAAGAGAATTCCTTCCATAGAGATGCCATTTTGTAAAGACTAGCAGATGAATCAAATTGTTGGATTTGGGGTTGAATCAGGCTTGAAATGAAGCTCGGGGGAGAAAAATTTAAAATTTAGAATCAAATGTGCACTGTAATGTGCAGAATAATATATGCAATTGAATCTAGTTACCAGGGTGATAATAATGATAATAGTGTGAGCGCTTTGGTCAGTCAATGGTAGAGGAACAGGTATAAATATCATCATTGTCATTTATTATTATTATTATTAATATTGTTATTATCATTGTGGCACTTTTTTCTCATTTTAGGCAACTTATAATGAAGGGTTTACTCGACCTTATGTGGCACCATCAGGGGAGAATGCATCGGTAAGCCATAATCTATTTCCTATCTTTTGAATTAAAGTGTACAAATCACTTTAAAAATACATGTGATTTGTGTATAGCTAGGATACTTTAAGTCAACCTCAAAAAACTTAACCTGGCAGTTTATATATGGGTTAACAATTTATATTCAGTACTATGAACAAAATAAAGGATTACATAAAAACATGACTTACGGAATAAATAAGAAGAGGAAAATCCAAACTCAACAGAGAAAAATCAGACTGGGGTAAGTTTGAATGAAATTGGACAAGAAATCACAAAGAAAGATTATTGTTTTGAAAGTTATAATCACTATCCGTATAGGTACTTCAAATTGGTTGAATCAGTTATGCCAAAAATAATGAATGCAATGAAAGCAATCTCACATTGGCTTTGATTATACCTTATATATTTTCTCTATCATGGAAAGCTTTAATTAACCTCCTCTCTCTCTCTCTCTCTCCCTCTCTCTTCCCCTCTCTCTCTCTCTCTCCCCCTCTATCTCTCTCTCTCTCTCTATATTTTACATCGTTTGTAGGTTCAGGACCAATACTACTGATGTCATCAATAGCTCTGACACAACATTAAATACATGGACAGAAATCAAAGTTGCTGAACAGGACTCGTCCAAAAAAAGATAAAGCATACTTTCATTTATAGTATTACAAACTGGATTTGAAATTAAATTTATAGAGATATTTTTGTATTAAATTATTCTTGACATGCCTCATGTAAAGCGCTTCTATCCAGAGGAAAAGGCGCTATGTAAACTCTATGCTACTGTTACTGAATTACGTGCAAGGGAAACCTAATGGTGCTGTATATTACCTGCATGTACTAACTATATTTGAAATATATAGAATAATATCTATGCTAGAAAAAAAAATGTATCTCTCAACTCATTTATTTTAGCAATAGTTTTGTTGTACATATCTGTCATCTACGATTGTTTGTCTTTATATGTAGAGGGCCAAAAGGGTGTTAACACCTACAGCATCTTTTTGACTATTGACAGATAAAATGGTTTCATCACATATGTGTTAATGTACAGTATCATAAGGACCATCATTTTCCAGAATTGCATATATTTACTCAACACATCAAGTATTACAAATTCATTGTCTAGTGGATACGTCACTGGACTGTGTCCAACACTGATGTCCTGTGGCAAAACATTAATCTTCATTTGCCACTGTCCACCCAATTGTTGAATGGGAAGCCGGTACGAAGTGAACGTTAATGTTGTCAGATTGGTATTGTGTGTTTGTGGAGCATATTCATCATGTTCAGATTAGCAATTAAATCTAACGACTGGTGTTATAGTAATTACAATGTTAAGTGCTCTGATAGGAAAACAGTATTTTAAAATGCTATGCAAATGTGTTTTCATATTTATTATCATCATTTGATGTTATTTATTTTACATATGTAATTATGTATGTTACTGGAAGTGGGTGCTATTATAATCTGTGAATATTATCATGATAGGTAATGGTAAATGTATTTATTTCTCATTGTAGAGATTGGTGTTGGAAGATATATTTTGGGTGAATATGCATCACTAGAAGTGGGTGCTATAGTCAGTAGGCAGGAATCTAAATATATTGAAACATTGTTATATTAGGGTTAACAAAAAAGTAGTGGACCCCAGCAAAATTGCATTGATGTCAGGACAGTTTGTGTAAAATAGTGTTCTTAATTAACAGGGTTGCTGTAACCTCACAATAAGTGATTAAACATTGATCTGGTTGGGATACATGAACAAAAGAACTGGGTGCTATTTATGGTGTAGGGATCTATATATATTATGTGGATGAAGCTTTCAAAGAATTATATGCTATGACCTTTTACCTTTGATGTACTATCCTCAAAATCTGATCTGCTGCAAGTATCATGGAATATATATTATCATACATGAGTGCGATATGTTTGTATTTGATATTATATAAGTAAAGTTTCAAATATCTATTTGGGGTATATAATAATCGAACAGAGTATTTCCCTTACTGACAAAGGGGTTGTATATTTATACATATATATTTTTATACACATTGAAAGTTTGAAACTACTACCGGTAGTTAGAAGCTGTTATTTTACTTTTCACTATTTAATGGATGTCTAGTCTAGATGTAATTTGCTAGTTTATGAGAAAATGTAAGAGATTGATTTTCACTTTCTTAGGATGAAACTTAGTCAACGGCTAAATTGTCTAGTACTTGGTCAGGAAAGGTTATTTATTTTCTAGTTTGCAACCCAGAACCAATCCATTATTGCTAGGTTTTTTTAAATGTTTATATCTCTAACAGTGTTATCTATTGTGCCTAACATGTAAACATGAATATTCCAGCCATGACTGTCTTTCATGTCAAATTCAATCTGTATGAACCATGTTTGTGCTATAATAAAAAACATTTTTTAATTGAAATGAAATTAATTGAATTAAACCCCAAGTATTTCAAGGATTAAATGGAATATCAGGTTATATCAGAGATTTCATGTTTATCTAGCATGACCTGTACATTGTTTCTTTAAACAAATATTGAATATACACTTATCTTTCATATATAAAAATAAACATAAATTACCCCTCTTTAAGATGATATGCAATTGGAATCATACCGTTCATACATTAGTGAGCATAATGATTATACAATAAGTGAGTCTTAAGAAAATTGCGAAAATGGGGCATCTGGCAATTCAAATTTTCATGACCATTTCAATCTTATAGGATCAAATTAATACCAAAAGAAATTAGGAGAAACATGAACAGAGAGGCATCTTGACTGTGTGTGTCAAAACCATGCTTCCTATGACAACAGTTTTTATTGTTCAACAAGAATATCTTACAGATGCACATTTGAATGGATAATTGCTCTATTTTTGCAATTTTCTTAGTCAGACCTACCAATGGTTCAATGAATGTGCCTACACAAGCTTGAAAGTACACAACTTGATTTTAATTTTGGTAGAGTATTAATTCCTTTCAATTTGATATATTAATATTGGCTGCTCTTGAGTGGTACATGTATATCTCATATACCACAAAAGAAAGCCAAATTGACAATATTATTATCATAAATTATAAATCAAAAATCGAACTAAAGTGAAATTTAAAGGGTTGAAAAGATCAATCCAATCCAACAGTGTCTCGACTAGTCTTAAACCCAAATTTAGCAAGTCAAAATGAAAGATGATTCAAGTTTTAAATATAAATTGGTGCTTACACGCAATATGTACTAGCAAGTAGCAACGAATTTTTCATGATACTGGGGTCGTATTCAATTCAGTATGCGGATTGAGTTTTAATCATTTAATTTTACTTGGCTAAGTTATATATATGACTTAATTCGTATTCAGATCATATCTTAGCACTTTACTTAAGCAAGTTTCTTAAGCAAGTCAACTTTAAGGTGAAATACTAACTGATAAGCATTGTGATGTCCTAATTCAAATGGTCATTCAAAAATTATTCACAATGAACATATTGCATGAAATCTGTGCTATAATAATTCTGCGCAGTGACATATTTTACGAAGGAAAATTAATATGCTAACATTATGTAATAGACCAAAGAAAGGGAATTTTATTCTCTGACCAAAGAGGCTTGTATACATAATAATTTATTATATTGTAATGATGATTTCTATCAACATTTTCAACAATAATGAGTGTCCACTTTGATTTTTTGCTGAGTGTTCATCAAGATTGCCACTGTATTTAATAAACAAGAGAAAAAAACTTTTACTAGAATTTGTTTATTTGTGTGGAAAATGTATGTTTGCTCTATCAATGTATCATAAAGCTTGTTACAAATAACAATTACAAATTCAGAATATTGTTCACAACAAATCAAATGAAATACTTTCAGTAGATTATAACATTTATAAGTAACTCTGCACCAACCGAAGTTGCACTACTTGTTATTTACACTTTCTATCTCTAATTTTGCAAAAATCAAACTATTTTGTGTAATCCCAACAGATTTGACTATGCAGTCTTGACTGTATAATAACTTGTTATCAGCAAAGTTTTATGAAACAGAGCGCAGGTCGTAAGAGGATAGTAATTTTCAGCATCACTCAGGTGTGTGTTTCAATATATGTAATATTGGTTGATCTTCAGAGGGCCGCAGAGGTACATGTACACTGAATATATGAGATAAGCATATCGCACGAGTTGACATGCGAGTGCAAGATGAGTGCAAAATTAGAAATATATCCTTGCTATTCAGAATGATCTATGAAGCCTACTTTCTTCACAAACACTTCTTCGCTTTCTCGTCAGTGTTTCTCAGATTAAGTGCTGGATATTGTCAACAATTTAAAGTATATTGCAAAAGCACTTGCATATTTGGACAGATACTTCTTTTATATCATAGAGGCCAAATAGCGAGATTCAAGCGTGTATATCTCCTGTGTGCATGCATGCATAAATGCAATAAATGAATGGTTCAAATCTGAAAAGAAGAATACACCTTTTCTGAACACTTTCAAACACCTCACAAAAGTTATTTGCAAGCTCAAGAGGAATGATTGAATTGTAATCTACATTATTTCAGGGGTAGGCATACCTGTATGTGTCCGTGTTGGGTTAGTGCAGGGTGTTTTTTTAAGTAAATGTTTTGCAATTATCTCTTGCTTGTCATCTTAGAGCCACTGTCTTTTCTTATATCTCCTTTATCTTCTTTTCTCTCACTAGTTATTTTGATCTAAACTCCTTTCCCTTTACTCTCTCCGTCTCTCACTCTCTCTGTCCCTCTCTCCCTCACCCTCTCTCCGTCTCTTTCTCTCCCTCTCTCTGTTTCTCCTGTATTCATTTGACCCACTTTCTTTTCTATTTACCTTATCATCTCTCCATATTTTTTTACCCCTCACCCCACTTTTCTGTTACATATTCAACTCACTTTCTTTTTCTTTTTTACCTTATAAACTTTCCATTTTTGTTTTTTCTTAATGTTGAAGGTACTATGTTCCATTTGCAGGCCCCAAAAAAGAAAATGTTAATTCCAACGGCATTTGAAAGATAATCCTAATTTATAACTTCCCTCAAAACTAAAGGGCTTGAAAATGTCTTTAGGTAGGAAAATAACAAGCATTAGTTGTCAAATCGACTTTAGTGATTGCAATCATTTTAGTAATATTCTGATTTTCACACCCTTGTATCGAATGGTTGTACGTTTTGACTGCGCAAAGATTCAATCAGTTTAATTTTGGACATTGCAAGAAGTGGGTTATTGATGTAGACACATGCTCATGTACCTTTACAGCTCTTTTAATGTATGTTATTACCAAAGGAACTAGATGGAATTCGACTGCGCGCAGTCGAAAATGATGCCTCCGTCATAGAGCAATTTTACAAACCAAAACAGAAGAAATTTTTCAAATTCAAGTTCAATTGTAATCCATTAACAGGTTCTCAGAATATCGTGATTACAAACAATTTCTCATATACATATATGACCCTTTGAACTTTGACCTCATGATCCTAATATCTACTCAGCTCATTGGCTCTGCAAGATATCCAGAGTTAAATAGTAATCCATCTGTCAGTTCTAATGAGAATGCGTTCACAAGCTATTTTTGCATACATAATGAGCCCATGACCTTGGACCTTATGAACCAAGAATCTACACAGTTCATTGGCTCTGCAAGTAACATACATGACCTAAGTTTGGCAGGAATCCATCAATCGGTTCTTGAGATAACGCGATCACAAGCTGTTTTTGCATACATAATGAGCCCTGTGACCTTTGACCTTTGACCTCGTGACCCCAAAATCTAATCAGTTCATTGGCTCTGCAAGATACATACATGACCAAAGTTTGGCAGGAATCCATCTATCGGTTCTTCAGATAACGCGATCACGAGCCGTTTTGCATACATAATGAGCCCTGTGACCTTTGACCTTTGACCTCGTGACCCCAAAATCTAATCAGTTCATCGACTCTACAAGATACATACATGACCAAAGTTTGGCAGGAATCCATCCATCGGTTCTTCAGATAACGCGATCACGAGCTGTTTTTGCATACATAATGAGCCCTGTGACCTTTGACCTTTGACCCCAAAATCTAATCAGTTCATCGACTTTGCTAGATACATATATGACCAAAGTTTGGTAGGAATCCATTGATCCGTTCTTCAGATAACGTGATCACGAGAACGGGACGTACGTACAGACGTACGTACAGACGTACGGACGGACGGACGGACGGACGGACGGACGGACAACCCGAAAACATAATGCCTCCGGCTACTTCGTAACGGAGGCATAAAAAAAGAAGTCGTTCTGTCACTCAATAGTGTCTGACAGTGAAGTCTAGAATGTAAACAAGTTTCCCTGCATAATTAGAATAATAGGACACTGCTAACATTTCAATTTCACAGATAGGACATTACGTGACATATTCATAATTCCTGCAAAGTTCTACAAAATTTGATGTTAGCTGCAAATGGGACATAGTACCTTTAATGTTCCAACCTACTGTACAACACAATTACATAAATGTTATACCCCCAATAATTATGTAACCAATATTTTGATGTACTACTTTTAATCTTTTTGCAATGTTTTACTTTCTATACCACCAGATTTATATAATATGTTATATTTATGATATTTTTTATAAATCATGGTTTGTGCAATACATACAAAATAAAAACGAGATGAAATAAACAGAGAAATTAGATATTGCAATTAAATATTGTTATTGAAAATTATGATGCATACATCCGACTACCAACAAAATGAAAAGTAAATGACTTCTGGTAGCAAGCACATATGATTCCAACAAAGATTTAATATAAAAAATGAAGTTTACAAATTTATATATTTACAGTTTCATTTACGAAATTCAATTTCCATCACTACATTTTTTCAAGTGGTGTTTGTGTTTAGTATTTTGTCTGCCCAGAACAAAAACTAATCTCCCTTTTTTCAGCCAACTCATAAAGAAACACAACAGGACATTAAAAGAGAGTCAGGCAATATACCCTTAATTACAGTTCTAGATGTGTTTTGTGTTTTCTACAATGTCTTCAATTTTTACGACTATAAATAAAATTACTGTTTAACTTTAATTCTATTGTACGTTCACTTTGTATTCAATTTTCTAGACCCCATGGAAGAACAATTTTTTCATATCAACAGAGCTGAGCAGGCTATCCAATTTGTATTGTTTTTAAATTGTGATTTGGAAAATGCATACCGCACCAATATTGTCCTGTTTCTGATTATAATAATGTGTAAAAATGACATAAATTCCAGCTTTATGCCCTCTTGTTTACAAACAAAATTTGGAAAATTAATAAATTAATGAATATTCATCCAAGCAATTAAAAAGGAAAGAATAAGATCTACAATAAAGTAAATAAAAATGATCAAACCCCTGACTTTGAAGTAATGCTTTTTCAATTCTCAGTGGACAATATGAGGGAAACAAAGAGAGTAAAAGAATTACAGTGAAATGATCTAGACATATGCTCATTTAAAAGTGATGTGACCGCGCCGTTTGTCCTACCAGTACCGTTTGTCCGTCTGACATATCATCACTATGAACATGACAGACAATGAAAGCGGACAAAATATACAGTTCCTCAGGTAAACAAAGGGACATCCCTTCACTGCTATTATGTAAAAATGTGTAGAACAGGTGTCACATGCATATTCACCTGTTCTACACATTTTTACATAATAGCAGTGAAGGGATGTTCCTTTGTCTACCTGAGGAACTGTATATTTTGTCCGCTTTCATTGTCTGTCATGTTCATAGTGCATGCAGGTTTTCTGCAGGTTTTCTACTAGCACGAGGGATGATCTGTGCGGTATGCTATCCGCACAGTCTGTCCTCACATTGGTGTACGCGTATATTTGATAAAAGGAAGCAACTTGGCAAATCAATGAATTTAGAATCATTGTAAATCATGTGGTTGAAATTTTTTCTAGAAATGACGTAATAATAACTATCTACAAATTTTAGAGCAAATGGACCAGTACTTTTGACATGAGAAGTGAATTTTTTCTTTAAAACCCTTATTCATCACCCCGTCATACTCGTTATATGCGTGATATAGGCCCTGCAACTGTTGTAATCGATTATATTTTTGTTAGTGGCTTTTTCATTGTACACTTCTTTACACTTCTTTGTCATGTATAATTCTATCATATCGAATTCAAGAGCTTTAGTATTATTCAAAAGCAATATGCAGGAACAGAACTTGTTATCATTCCTTATCACAAACACAGAGAATCTAATGACATCACTATCATCTATCATATGAACTGTACATTACAGAGATGGCATTTTATCCCTTTGTCTCTCTACATGCACAAGGTCTCATCCTTCTGTATGGAAGCATCGCACAGGGTTTGAATGGTCACAGACTGAAATGAGCTGCTTCTTGAAACGTTCATAGTGAAAATTATCAAAAACTCTCTTGGCATTCTTAACTCCCATCCTTCTCTCTGGAAGTATCGCACAGGGTTTGAATGGTCACAGACTGAAATGAGCTGCTTCTTGAAATTTCATAGTGAAAATCATCAAAAACTCTCCGGGCATTCTCAACTCCCCATCATTTTCTGGAAGCATTGCACGGAGTTTTGTACGCTCACAAACTGACCTTCCCTCAGTACCTCCTAAGTTGCTTCTTGAAGCGTTCGTAGTGATAATCATCGGTGGCCTTCTCCGCATTCGGAACTTTCCTCTTGAATTTGGGAGCAGGAGGATCTGTGCAAACAAAATCAGATATGATGGGATGATTGACTTGGATCTCATAGAATATAATGCCAAATAGTGATATTTTAACCTCTTTCGTAATGTGGGCAGCTAATCCTGCCAAAGAAAATATCTATCTCTCCCTCCCTCCTTCCCCTCTCTCTCTCTCTCTCTCTTGATGCCATAGAACAGTACTATGGTTGGATAGTAATGCAGAGATGGCATGATAAGAGAAGATTGGAAGACCAGGGGGGTGCTTCACAAAGATTCTATTAAAGTCGAACTTAACTCTTAGTTGGACTTATTTTGCATGCATATCAAGTCAATTGTTTAAAAAGTTCACTCATTTGCATATTTATTAATAAATCATTTTCTACCCATAAATCGTGTATTTCTCATGTTTAAAAATTTGTTTTTTATTCAATATTCTTGAGACTATTTGGAATAATAGAACAAACTGATTTGGAAGAGCCAGGTCATTCCTTACGTTATCTATTGTTTTCATAACTTATGTATTTCTTAGTTTTTATTAATAACGGATGTATTTTATTGTTTTTGTTGTTTTATTTCATTTCTTACTATAAGTCAACTATTTTGACCCCCAAAACAAACACCTAAACTATAATAAGACCAAATAACCAATGTTTTATTTTATGAAAAATGATATTTCAATGTTTTGTACACAAATCACAAAACAGAGCAATTTTTGGGCTGACATGCAAAGACAACAGGTCAAGTGACTTTGTAATGGTAGGTCCAAGTTTCGAAAAATTTGTTTTAAAAGATGCGCAAGACTTGAAAGAAAATAGTCACCAAGTGGCAGGCATCATCCCTAGGCGATCCCAAACTATCAGAAAAATTGCGGAGGAGGGGTGGGGCATAACCCCCCCCCCCCCCCTTGCCTCGTTAGGGTTAAGTGTACAAATCACATTAAAGATAATGTGGGTACTGGGTACAGTCAAAATGTCTCAAATCAACCTATCAATTCTACTTACAAGTTGCTTTAGTGTTTGTCGAGAGAGTATTTGAGATTGCAATACCCCTCAAAGGATTAACGTTCGATGTTCACATTTTGAATACAGTATAGCGAACTGGACCCCCTAAACACAGAGCAAAACGTTTTTGATGATTGGTACATTTTAAACAAGCAGGCTAAAATGTTGAGTTCATAACAGTAAAATATAAATTTACCTGGTTTTCTTGGTTGGTCAGCATCTCCTACTACGACAGGTTTAGGTTTCGGCTCTTCTTCCTTCTTCTGGCGCTGTTGATTGCGTTGATGCTTAGAGGCATAGTAATCCTCATGCATATCTAAAAGAGAAAGAAAGAGAGAGAGAGAGAGAGAGAGAGGGGGGGAGGAGAGGGGGGATAGAGGGGGTGAGAGAGATGGAGGAGGAGGAGGAGGAGGGGAAAGAAGACAAAAAATGAATTCCATTCATTTGTTTCTCATTAAAATGTTTTTCATATCTATGTCTTGAAAAAATTTGGATACATCATTTCAGAAGTCTTTCTCTATGAGAAAGATTTTGAATTCAACCTTCATAAAATCCAGGCAGATAGAAAGGTTTGATTATCCTCAGTAAATACAAAAGGAGGTCTGCTCACAAGGGGAGCCATAGAAATAAAGTAAAGATGTGTAACCTACTTATCCTTTATAAAATTTTCTTGACATTTTTTCAAAGATTCGCTTCTCACAAATTTCTGTTTTTTCTGAAACAAACCTGATATAAAGTTGAATTTCAACTCTCCAAGCTTAGAATATAGTCTGATGTTGCACTTTCATTAGATGTCTGTCATCAAAGCTATTATTGCAAGCTTTGTCTGAAGATAATAAAAACAATAAATGATGCTTCTGCATAAATTACTTTGGAAAGAATTTGTTAAACCTGTTTCTGACACTCACATCTTGAATGTTGCACATAATTGACAGCCATGTTAGCTGGTACAAAAGAAGTTGTGTTCTTCTTTTTATTCCTCCTCTCCTCTAAGTGTTTCTGCTTGGCATCTTCAGTAGCCTCGATGTTCTTGATCTTAGCCCTGAAATGATTTTTAAAAAGACATGAAAGAAAGGGCATCATGTTCTTGGCGGTAGGGTGCGAAACGATGCATGGGCTTGTAGACTAGAGGTGTCTTTAGTTGAATGAGTGGTTTAATCACTGGACTAGGAATACAAACCTCGTAGGAAAGCAAAAATATGCTAAAATAACCCCCCCCCCCCCCCCCCCCCCCACCCTCCCCTTCCCTGGCTAAAGAACTGCTTATACCGTACCTAAATGAACGAATGAATGGCATGAGGTAAATTTTAAGGTAAATACACACAGTTGCACACAACAATGGCCCCTATGCATACATTTGATGTGTTTATCAGAATTTCATAGGATAGAGAGATGTAAAGCACATTACACCCATCTCATCAATTCCATCATGGCAATTTTTAACCAAAAAGCAGTTCACTGCCTCACATCTGCATGGGTCTCTAAGACAATGGTTATTACCCATTAACTACAATGTATGGGAACCAAGTACGTAGCTTCTGCACAACGTCTTCAATTCAATATTTATCTGGTTAACATAAAGACTGACTTACTCTATTCCAAGATCAACTTCCGGTATTCCAGAGAGCATCTGGTTGGAAAGCATTTCTTCTGAGCTCTTCTGAGCTTCCACCTTGAGGTTGTCAGGTAGCTCATAGAGCTTGTCCTCTGGGGTTTTATGTCTGAGGGGGAAACAAACAGTTGAGTTTTAGTGGCTTTAGACAACCCTAATTTCAAACCAATCATATTTGGTAGCCAAACATTCACACTTTGGGTTGCTTCCTTCGCCTTGCTTCACCGTCGCTTGTTTGCAACACATGTACTTCTCCACCAAATAAGAGGTATTATACAACACCTACGTGGATCCCTGTCATTTGATTGGAGGATTGTTGGTCACATGATATTCAATAGATGGTATATTGCACGGTCGTGCATTTTTGGTTATATGCAGACTGCGTACCTCTCTGCCGTGCGCGCGCGTATCCCTGCGTGTATCTGACGTGAAGGCAATCTGAATGTAATCGAGAAGGCTTGAATCCAACTTGAATTTATCTTTAATATAAGGAGTAAAGCATAATTTGTTGATAAACGTTCTATTAGATCTTCTTCGATGTTGTATAAAACAAATAATGAATGTTTTTCATTCGTTCAATGGTGCGAATATTTTCATGAGTTGAAAGATTAACATTCTATTCAACGAGGCGTCAGCCGAGTTGAATAGAATTAATGTTAATCTTTCAACGAATGAAATTATTCGCACTATTGAACTCATAACCATTCATTATTTGTATACTAATTGATAAGGGTTGATTTGTGCAACACAATGGCTTTGCAAAATTACTTATTTCCGGTTTTGATTAGCTCCATGACAACCCTTTTATCATCGCTTGGGGATAAATCTTGCACTTGGAAAAAGTTTGATAATCTTGAAGCCTTTGGTAATGCGATGTGGCACAGGGAGATTATTTTTTGTAGCATATAAAGATTTAAACAAGGAAAATATTTAGTTCTGAGCCAGACATGTGTGTAATTATGATACAAATGATAAGGGTTCACTTTTATTGTTATAGCATGGCAAATATTTCTTGCAGTTTTACATGTCAAGAAAACAAAAAAATCTGCCTGGTAATGTTGACTGACTCATTTTTTCAACTTTATTTCCACTCATAAAAAAGATAACAACAATAAAATAACAAATTTATATAAATACAAGTTATAAAAACAGACACATTAATACATGACATAAAAATGATATAACATACACTGTAAGCGAGAAATCTGTGTAGGTTAAATAAATTGAGAGTGGAAGAGCCAGCAGAGACCTAAGTCTTGTCAAAAGCTAGCTTCATGCTGAAGTTAAAGGGATCCGGTAACTTTGTCTCAGATTCTGAAACAAAATTCTGGATTTAGCTCATAATTCAATGATAATTATAAACCTTTAGGTCAGGTAGGAACCCCATTACTTTTACAAGCCGATCGCCTGTCTGATTATCAAGATATTTATGATTGGAATTACAAATTTTGAAAACCGTTCGCCTGACGGTTTTCATAACACTACAGTCTATTGGGGGAAACGAGTATGGTAAAACCGGTCACTCACAGATTTTTACTATTTTTGAGGCACTTCTTGATCATTTTGAAGCGCAATTTTTTTAGGGCTTCAAAATTACACCATATCACAGACACTGATAACACGTAGGGCCGTGTATCTCAGATTTAACATTGTTAAACGATCCCTTTAAAGTATCGTTTCATAACATATCTAAAGTATAACAATTTATCCATATGTAGCTGCGAACTGAGAAGCCATCAGGAAACATCTTTAAAGGCAAATTCATGGGAACACCTTATACACAGACAAATTGGGAAAAAGCAAGAGAAAAGCTCCCAATGTTGCAATTTCGATAGGTTTCCTTTTATATAATTTTATCTGAAAAACTAATGTCCCATTAAATTTCAAACAGCTTCAAATCATGAAATACAGGGAGTTTTGCAGTACAAAAAGAACAAGAACAAAATACAACAAATCACATTTCAAAGAACAATAGATGATAACATCTTGTCCTTTTTTGTACTTAACTTACTTAGCTCCCTCTTTTGTTGGGTCAGATTCTTTATCCAGATCTAATCCTTTCTTCTTGTTCATTTCTATCTCAATGTATTTCATCCTGCAAAAGAAACAATGGAAATATTTTCAAACTTTTTAATACAGTAAAAATGTATTTCAAGGAAGTAAATACTGAATTGGGCGAAAGAGATTTGTATCCAGTGGGAAAAATGCCATATAAATTGCAACTCCTGTATAATAAAAATATGACGGTATTGTAAACAATCAAAGGTGAAAATTCTCTTTAAAAATGTTAGAAATTAACATATTTTTTAAACATCCCATTAAGATAAATGTGTAAAATTGTTAAAATCTAAACCGAAATTTCCGAACTTGCGATTTGAATATTGACTCACATTTCAGCATCTTCGTCTCTCTGGTTGGTCTCTACTGCAAAGGTGCTCCCCATGTTGGCAACATCTCGGTCAGATTCATCAGATCTGGAGAGAAGAAGGGAGTAAGAAGGGATAAACAGACATGTCATTGACCTTCGGTGAAAATCATCCAACGACGATGGAAAACGCCATTACAGCCCCACTGTACTACTTGTAGCTACTTGCTCCCTCTATATAGAAAACAATGCCTAATCAGTGCCTGTTGGTCCCTCCATGATCCTCTTTTTCTTACGCTAATTGAGAGCTGATTTGATGAGATAGCCACCTGTCAGTGACCTCGTTGGGTGGTCTAATCCCTCCTGACAACACTAGGACAGACGACCTTTAAATTTAACTACAACTTTTCTTTGGGCATGTCAATGAAATCTGAATCGGCCATTGAGTACTAATTTCTCCATCCAAGTGTTAAATGGGTACCCTTTACGATGCCAAAGTAACTGTTCTTTGCTCGGCATTGTGAGTGTCTGTAAAATGGCGCCTGGCTTGAATGCCCCACAGGGAGTGGAGAATGTGCGCCAATTGTATGTGGACAAGCCTGAATCCAGTGACAAGGTGAATATTAAAGCACTTGGAGCCATCATCCATGTATTCAATTAATTGTAGATACGATCCTAGAATAGAATTCATAATTCATATTAATTAAATCTTATTCTGCTGGGAGTACAACTAGAGCCAATCGGTAACCATAGGCAATGGCTTATTTGGTTTCAGTTTTAAGTTCAGTTGAATGAGTAGAATGATTTCTGTTCTGCAATTGCCTCATCATCAATACTTCACTATTCCAAGTAAAAATGAGCTTCCAATGCTCCTACAGTGATATGCGATTTACAATAGCACTTTCCAATTCAATAATGCAGGATATGTATTCCTAAGTACAGAAAAATATTAATTTAACAAGCTTTTTTGCCCTTCAAACATAATTGTGAATTTTTATTTTCCAATATACAGTCAAACCTAATTTAGTGACCACCTGTCTACAAAGGCCACTTGTCTACAAAGGCCACATTTGTTGTTTCTCTGAAAATGGTTTCTCATGGAATCATGTACAAAAGGAACCTGTCTACAAAGACCACTTTTTGTGTTTCCCTTGGGCGGTTGCTAAAGACAGGTTAAACTGTATATGAATTATCATCAGCTTTACGAGGGTAACAGAATTTTATACGACCAACCTGTCTCTATTTCTGTCCTTAATTTCTTTCAGGCTCAGCATCCCGCCGACCTTCAGATTAAAGGGATCATCCTTCAACAAAATAAGAAAAATAAAACAAAAAACATTTAAGAAAAAAAACAAAGAGAATGTTAAATAATTAATATTATTACCCGTATCAGACATCTGAGCTGGTCATTTACAAAACCGTATTGCCCTAGTTTCCACTAGCAGTGGGAACGGAGGGGTATATTTTTTGTATTTTCCTTGGTCTCCCTGCGCGTATTGACTTTGCGTGTAGAGACGAGTGAAAATATACCTTGGTATTTTCCACGGTCTCGCATCCGGGCATCTTGTATTGACTGCGCCATATTTTGTCATTTTCATTGTGCATCTATTATGCGTACGAGAACCTGCGCACTTTGCGCGCACTCTATTGTGACGTAATAATCACACCAAATGCACACTGTTTGCAGTGTATAGAAAATTTCGTCAAGCACTGGATGCACAGTGCTGGTTTGACAAAGTTTGTTCAGTTCTTTGAGATTGTCATGGTGGATTTCTGAATTTGCTCTAGATGTCTGATTTGGATAACAATAAAAATATTGACTGGCTTTACTTTCGGGGGATATCAGAAATATTTACCGCGCTAAGACCATATTGCCCTCGTCTTTCGACTCGGGGCAATATGATCTGAGCTTGGTCAATATTTCTGATATACCCCTCAAGGCCAGTCAATATTATATAAATAATAATAATAATAATAATAATAATAATAATACATTTATAGAGCGCAGAAACTATCCAACATTAGATATATATTCTACTGCACTACTAGAGCTCCTGATATGCTTAGATTTGCAGTAAATTGAAAAGATGTGCTTTCAGTTTTTATTTAAAGATATGTGTTAATTAAAAAAAAAACATGAAATATGTTTAACAGCTTACACACTATCTATTCTACAAAAGATGGTTTGGAAAACTATTGAGATAATGAGTGTCAGCACAGATTGTGAAGATGCAAAATTGATTGTTGCTTACATAATGGTTCATTTTGTGCAAAACACATATATTCTGGTCAAATCTAAAGAAAAGTGTGATAATGATAATCTTCATTATTCATTTGGAATGTGTGATTCCAAGAGGGTTATTACTCTCTTATCACGTTCATTACCTTCATGTATAATTAATATGCACATTCATTCTGACATTCCCGACATTCCCGACGTATTAAGCGCTATATAAGCAATAATAATAATATTATTATTATTATTATTATTATTATTATTATTATTATTATTATTATTATTATTATTATTATTATTATTCTTTCTTATACATGTACATGTACTTTGTACTCTCATTCTTTATTATACTTACATCATTCATTTCCTCTACTTTTGTCATTTTCTTGCCTGTGAGAAGAGCTGTAGCACTGTAAAGGGCACACAGAGATTTCAGATCATTATTTCATAGCAAATAATCAATGAATGAAAGAGAAATATTGTCATTAGGGCATTTTTGTTCTTTTGTCTAGGAGTGTATAGAAAATAAGTGATACTTTTATTGGGGGCCAGAAGGCTGTTACATCAACTAACAGGGTATCACCATTCTGACTCTAAACACACACTGTGCTGATATTAACAAGAACCTCATCAGAATTGGAGAAATAAACTGTTTTGGCAAAACTGTAAAAAGAGACAGGTTTTTAAAACATTATTTAAAAGCTATTTTCAAAATGTAATTTTAATGATACCGGTACACATAAAATGAGCTGGATTAGTAAGATGTTGGACCAACCTGACTCCATGAGGTCTCTCTCTGAATTTCTGAGCTTCTTTTGTTTCCTCCAAGATATTCCTGCACAATAAATTGGGATTTCAAACAATAGGTTAACATCAAATATGTCACTTGAAAATAAGTTACACTCTAATATTCTGTCACATACATGTGTATGTACATGTCCTGCATACACAACAGGCTGCATTTACAGTTTACACCAAAGTCCTGTCTTTTATTTATGCAGCCTTTTTCTTCTTCTTCTGTAGAACTAGAAGTACAGGCCACCACGTATTACCACCATTTTGTCAATGTATCTTCGTGCTTGTAGTTTCTTTCATTTTTCTACAATATTTTTAATTTGGAATTGGCTGGAAGTTACAGAGCTGATTTATTATGGTGATTTACTGTAACTGCATGATTTTCGGTGCTAATGCAGAATCATATCCAGACTTTGACCCATAATTCCTGTGTGGAGATACTCTACTAAAACATACCAAAATCAACTAAATCTTCATCAATTGTTCAAATAATGGTCATGATTTAAAAGTTGTTATGTTTCTGACCCGTTTTGTGTCAATTTTCTTATCTCTTTTGGAGTATTTTTCCTTAAAAAATTATAATGATAATATACACTTCCTCACAGGATTCATGGTGAGCCGCTGCATAATACAAATGCATACCGTACCAACGATGGGGTACGGGCGCGTGCATGTGCGTGAAGTTAGCGACCATAATTGATCATCATCATCATATTCATAATGTGAATTACTTACATGAATTTACAGTGGCTAACTTTATATACGCACGTGCGAACCCCATCGTCGGTAAGGTATGCAATTGGTTCAGGAAGACAGACAACCCATAAAAGTAGACGGTCAGGTTTTTCACAATACCAGGCTACCAGCGCCCGGATCGGGAACGGAAACCAGCAGCAGAGTGTCTTGTTTTTAAGGTCAAGGAAGCGATTTGTCTGGCAATGTCTGCATTAATTAACAAGGATATCCTCCTTTATGCGGACGATCCTCATTCTTGGACTAGTGCACAGAGCCCCTACTGTTAATTTAATACACAAAAAGAATGCTGATAATAGACAGAAATAACCTTCTGGACATAATTTGTCAACATTCCCCATACACAGACGGTAACCCATACGGCTCGCACAATGGGAATGGGACCAGTCGACCATGGCCATGGCATGGGGACTGAACGGCATTCATTGCCGATCATTCACCATCACACTCTGCTCACACTGTCACAGACACAAACGACGCGACGTTCGTTAATGAATTCCAAATATCGAATGAAACATCGGAATTATACAAAATTGTCCAAAAAATTACCTGATATCTTCATTGGACTGTCCATCATCTTCAGAATCAGAAGATGTCTTCCGTTGCCGAATACTTCGTTTCTTTTTAGCCTTGAAAGTTGCCATCTTTTCGTTTTCGTAAATAAAGCTAGGAGAAAGTTAGTCTCATCTCAATTCTGTTTTAGATATTGTCGATGAATACTATTGGTTAATAAATGAAAATGACTCCCTACAATCAAACTGAGGGTCTATCTATAAATTAGGGTAAATTTCTTTTTTGATGAAAATCAAAGTAAAATAAAATACAAATTCAAAAAGCTCTTTTAGATTGTTCAAAAGCTTTTTGTAAAAAAAAAAATATGAGTCGACTTGAATTTTACTAACCTAGTTTCCAGTTTAATTAGAGTCTTGTCGTTACGTGGCTCTTGGACAAAAATGTGAATAAAGGTAATTTGTAGCTTCTTTGTATCTTATAAAGTTCTTATTTCAAATTTTACAACTGCATTTATCTGTTTGCTAAGTATAATAGCTTTATTTCAAGAAACTAAATGTCATTTCAGGTATGTGTTTACCAAAAGTCAAGTGCGGCGTTCGTGCAGTGATTTGTCTGTTGGCGACGGGGAACTTCCCCCGACACAAAGTTGGTGGTGTTCGTAGGTGCCGTGTGTGTGTGACGTGCTGGGTTGTAATGTAGACCTAATGACTAAAAAATATTGTGAAATGTGAGAAATGATAAGTTGTATGCTATGTTACTTTCTCTGCAATCTTATAATTGTTTTAGATCGCTGGTCGCCGGTCCAATGTTGAACGTAGTCTCAATCTTTACATCTGTACATGGAGCTTCTGTTCTAACGTTACTTCTAATTCATTTGATGTTGATTTAAAAATTTAAATCAAATGTTATTTTTTGCACCACTAAAACTTTTAGTAAAAGTAAAAATAAAGTTCTAAACCTAAACTAAAGCTTGACCAATTTTTTTTGTCTCTTTCGTTTGTTAGCCTTTCATTTGGGTAGGGTCAGCTCCTCTCTTTAGACCGAGAAGCCGAACATAGTCATAGGGTGCAAACGTGGCCATATCTGGCCACAAAAATTTGCCCAAAATACTCAATTTAGCGGATTCATATCTGATGCATTTATTTTTTTAAATTAGGCCTAGGATAACATACATCAGTTCCACTTACCAGTGCGACTGTTTGATGCATTTAAGGGCCTTTATTCAGGATTTTCTTCTTCAAAATTAAGCTCCGTGTTGAAATTCTTGCAGCCGTATTTTAAACTGTTACTGTCAATGGATGACGCCTGGGGCCCGTTCCTAGAAACTAACTTCTTGACTATCACATTGAAACGTGTGTTATAGAATTAACACACGTTTCAATGGGAGAGTCAAGAAGTTAGACTTATGACAGTTTCTAGGAACGGGCCCCTGTTGTAGGCTGTACCGGCCTGTACAAATTATGGTGCATAAGAGTTAAGGTACATTTACTTAAGTGTTGCAATAAAGTAAGTTTACCCCCACAATATGTGTAGATTTTAATTTAATATGCAATTATTTGAATTGACAAATTGGTAATATTACAAGCAGAAAATCAATGTTGATTTATTTTTCATTAAAAAAATAGAGCTCCAAAGTGCCCAAGAGAATCATGGCTTTCTCACTTTTAAGTTGATTCTCTAGATCTTATAAGTTCCGTGCACAAATTTTTTGATGTGGCATTGGATGTGTCTTAACAATTCTTCCATGGATATTCTTGTTTCTCTAGAAAGGATGATATACATGTATGCACCTTACTGGGACCTATATAGCAGCCGACTCAAGACATGAATAAACTAAATTTCTTCTTTGATGAAATATGAGGTTAAAATTAAAATGGGTTCTCTTTATATCTGCCCTCACTGTGGGCATGTGGATGACGATAATCATAATCTTGCCAGCCCCATCAAATACCAGCAATGGAGGGAAGAACTTGAAAAGGGAACACTACCAGTCTGGCCCAGGTGACGGCGAGGTCAAAGGGCACATAGTTGATTCTGCTGCAGATGGACAACCAAAGAAACCATCTGATGAGAAGGAGGTTGACATTGTTGGTTTTAGGAACGCAGAGGAGAGCGAGCCAGCCGTGGAAGAGAAGAAAGTTCCACAAGGTGTCGAGATAGAGAACATCCGGGGGAACCCCCCAAATGGACAAAGCAACGAGAAACCTCAAAACGAGTCCCTCCCCTGGGAACTCGACCTCCTGCCCACATTCATCCCAAAGAGGCGGCATGATTATATGACTCTCTGGAGTAAAGCAGAGAGCTGGGTGACATCTAATCAGATCACGCCATCTTCAGCCAAGGAGCTGGGGTCGGTGCTCTACGCCATGGCCAACGCACCTATTACCAAGGCTGACGTGGGCTTCAAAGGAACTCAACTCAAGGCAAGGCTAATGCTGGAAGGGGGCCAGCTTGTTGTTTTTAAGCCAAAGAGGTGAGTTAATGATAAGTTGAAATAAAGGATAATAAGTATATCCTGAAGCCTATAAATGTCATTTAAGGACAATATCCTATACATAAAGTGGTAAAGACATGTTCCATTTCTAGTCGGGTTCTAGAATACATTATAATCCTCCTGGAGATTGACAATCTAAGTTGTAACCTATTTGGTCTTCATATTGAGGTATTAAACATCTACTGTATGATGTAGGTTTCAGGTGTTGTACGATAGTGGTTCAATCACTTCACTCTTTATTCAAGGGTTCACGGTTTGAATCTCGGCCTGGCAATATCGTCCTTTCGCAAGACATTAATTTGTGCTTGCCTCTCTCCACCCATGGGTATCTAGAAATCGCAGGAGCATATTATAAATAAACGGCCATCAGGAAGAAGAGCATTGAAGCTGAAGAGGCTTCCCTGGGTAAACAAAATTATTAATCTATTATTTATCACGTGCCAATCCAAGTATCCAACCATGTTATTATTAACATCGTACTAGTTACCCATGTAACACCTGTGTGGTGGGAAGCAATCTACTGTCAATTGCCTTGCTTATGGACATAAGTGCAGTGCCCCCAGATCAGATGACTCCTGTCAAATGTTTGAACCACCTGGCTATGAGTATGGCACCTCTACATTGTTTTTGTTTTCTATTTTGAAGATTTGATCCTGTAATGGCGTGCCTGAATATAAGAATAACACCATCTTCAAGATCCATTCGATCTCATTTTTGATGTTTGCAGAAATGTTTTCCCTTTCCTGTGTCTTTCTATTCAGGTATCCACGAGATCATGTAATTTATGGAACTCCTTATGCAGGCTATGACAGACATAATGGAGAAATAGCTGCCTTTCATTTGGATAGGTATGTAATTCCAATTGGCATTGCAGAGAGTACGTCAAAGGTACATGTACATTAGTACATGTCAGTGAGGGCATTAGTAAGAATTACCCACACAAGGTACCTTTGGAACAGTCAACACTGTTTGGACTGTTTCAAAGGTACGGAGTGTGGGTAATTTTACTAATGCCCAAACAAAATGATGTGTATTATTTGTTTTATAAAATGATGTTTTATAACATGATTTTAATAATGACCGGTCATAAGTATTTACTAATGACCGGTCATTAGTAAATTTACGTGTTAGGCATAATAAATGCCTGGTTACGTGTACGCTCAGTCTCAACCAATCATTTGATTAGGATCTGCCTCATCATCTTTATAATATAACATATTGACACTTCCAGAAAGTAATTACAGTGTACATGGTAATTTTTGTCTTAGAATGTATGAAAATCATCCCTGATATTTAAAAGTAGTTCAGTAATTCAAAGTTATTACAATTGTCACCTCCCATGAGCTCAATAAACAGTTTTTCAGCATGTGTAATTCAAATCGTTCAGCATCTTTTATACAAATTCACCATATCTCATGAAGGACTTGCACCGTAAGAGAGATTTGAAAATAACACATAGTTTTGGAATGCACAACAACACTGAGGCTTGAATTGACAACATAAATCAGCACAAAATGTATAATATTCCAAGGATCACATTAAATGTTGTAATGTATTCTTTTTCAGAGTATTAGACTTTAGGAGAGCTCCGCTTGTTGTGGGACGAACACTCAACTTGAAAACTGAAATACTTCCAGTCGCCTCACCGGCATTGAATGATACTTTCTTAGAGAAAAGTAAGGACAATGGTTTGTACATTTACAACAGTTATCAGTGTGACTTATAACTATTCTACACCTTATTTTTCATCATTGCACACCTACATGTAGTTAATATACAGTCAAACCTATGTATGGAGGCCACCCAAGGGAAACAGATTAAGTGACCACTGTAGATAGGTGGCCTTTCTAGACTGGTCTTACAACACACATTTCTTTCATGAAGAGAACAAAAAATCACTTATAGACAGGTGGTCTTTTTAGAATGGAGGCCACTAAGACAGGTTTATCTGTACTCTCAAGATGCATACGGTATGTCACTTAAATTTAAATTTGCAGCAAAAAACAACAACTTTTATTCCTTGTCAGTGTCTGACTAGCGAATACCCTTAAAGAATGCTTTATAAAACTTATTTGGGGAAGAAAGCCAACAACAGTGTTGTATGTTACAATTTAGCACAAGTACTGTTTAGGGCTACTTTTGATTGATGACTGTGGGCTCTAAGGTTTGCTAATTGTTTTAAAAGACTGTTATGTTGGAGGAGGATGCTAAGGATATCCTGGAAGGCTCATAAATCAAATAATTTTGTCAAGAACCAAATTGGAGCGAAGGTCACCCTGTGCCAGAAAATAGATAAGAACAAGTTGAAGTATTTTGGACACATTTCTAGGAGAGAAGGTGACTACTTGGAGAAGATCATTACCCAAGGTCATGTTGAGGGTCAACAAAAACGTGGAAGGCCAAAAGTTTGATGGGCTGACGGAATAAATGAGATTACTGGCATGAATATCTGCATGGCTAATAGCTATGCCCAGGATAGAAGTGGTTGAAACGTCATCAATAGGGTCACAAAGGGTCTGTCATGACTCTTAGGACGCGACGACAATGTATTTAAAGAGTATTTGTGCTTTCTTCACAAGCACAGTAAACTGTTTTTTAATCCACATTTCTTGGGTTGAAATCATTCAGAGTATTTGTTATTTATATTAGAGATTTGTTCTTCTCTAAATCAAGCATCTAAAATTGTAATCTCCACTAACGCATGGTGATATTCTTCATGAACTTGACATCAAGACTGCTTTTATGCTCTGGAAAGTAAAAAGTATAAAATGAAACAAATATGGTTAACATATACCCTGTTCTGTCTTTTGTCTTGCTTTCCAGATAATAATATATGTTTCTATGGCAAGTGCTATTACTGTAAGCCTGAGGAGGCAGCGTGTGCGGACGGTTTTACCATGGAGGGGTCAGTGACCTTATGGTTGCCCCCTGACCTCAAACTTAAGAAGTGGAGACATCTTTGGTCAAGGACGTACAAAGATGGGAAAAAGGCAAAGTGAGTAGGATGTATTTTCCTCTGTTAACATTTGTCACTTTTGAAGATGCTTCATTTAAACATTTGTTATTGTATATATCCATATAAATTGTACTTGTGTTTTTTTTTCATCAGATGTGGAAATAAAACTTGAAATTGAACTTGAACTTTGTTAGAAGAGGGAGGATGTGAGAGTGAAGTGGAGGGCATGAGGTGTGGATGTGGATAAAAGTACCAGAGAGCTAGTATAGACGCATAATCCCAAGATAGGGCTTGAGTATCCTGGAACAGTGGCCCAGATATAGAGCAATTCTACAATGGTATATGTGCATGTTGATACAATGATATTACCATTAATTAACCCCTACCCTTACAGGATGTGGCTTGTATACTCTGGCTATATTTGTTTGCAGCTTTTGTTTAGTTAAATATATAGGACTAATAATGACGGTTTGGGTTGCAATTGGGTTTAGACTTGATGAATTTTAAGAGGTTAAGGTTAAGGATAGTATGGGGTTGAGAATTGACTAAAAAATTTGATTACTATTATAAATTTACCATAGATCAATTGCCACTGGAGCATATATATATGGTGTTAAACTGTTTGCCAACAGTTTGACAAAGCTCTGAAAATCAAAAGGAGCTTTAAACCAAAAAAAAATATTAAAGATATTAAAAAAAATTAATGAAAAAAAATATGGAAATTAAGTCTGGACTTTAAATTGACTAGGTGGGAGACAGACGACCAGTACTGTGTGACTTTGATGACGAGGGTACCTCCTGAACAGCATCCCCTCGTCCTGCACATGACAGACGGTGCAGTCTTTGACTACCTGATAGGCAATGCAGACAGACACATGTATGAGACGTTTGAGAAGGATGGAGATAGGGGTATGCTGCTGCATATGGATAATGCAAAGAGGTGAGTTGTCAGGTAGCTCAGTAACCTGAGTAGGAGATTAATCATTACCGATAACCCTTTCAGTACAAGATTTATTTTTTTAAGGCTAAATTGATCACATGTTGTTCTTCAAATTGGCAACAATTTTGTATGTTTTTTTTTTATTGCTACATTAAAATAAAAAGTAATGTCTCTGAAGACAATATACATAGGTGAGAAATGTTGTCTAATAATTGAAAAAGTGACCCATTTTTATTTAAAAGACAACGATTGCAATCTTTCAATGTGTTTCCAATTTAGGCATTTTAAAGCTTAATTTTCTTTTCAAAATTCATGACATCAAACTCAATAAAGTCATGAAACAAAAATGGATGGCCATATATCATGTCTTTCACTTATGAAAGGCACTTATTCCATCAATTTTGCCTCTTTTTCTTACTTCAGTTTTGGAAATCCTTACTTGGATGAGGGCACCATCTTGGCACCAATCTACCAGTGCTGCAGGTGAGTTTGATAGGTAATCACAATCAGGGGTGGGCCTGAGTCTGTCATGATGGTGTTCCTTTGAACCAGGGCCCAATGGCTCAAAGACAGTCACGCCCACATTCCCTGATACCATTTTGCGATCACTATCACACATGACCGTACATGTTTGAAAAGAAATACACATAGAGAAATTCATTACTTGGCATTGTGAAAGCAAAATCGAGTTATAAACACAAGAATCCAACACTATGACGTCCTAAAAATATTAAAGAATATTAATGTTATTTTTGATAAAGAATAAACTGTGGCATAAAATTAGACCTAGAGTATAAAGTGAAATTGTAGCCATCTTTCTAACAAGCTCAAGCCAGGTTTGAGGTATGTACACCATATGATGCAAAATTTATTTTATACTGTTGTCTCACATTTCGAGATCAATGAAACTGATGAGAGAAACTTAAACCGTGCTCCAATGACCATGCTCAGGCACCTGTTTACGAACTTAAATGTTTGGGACCTTATGAGGGGAAATGTTATTGGGGATGCGGAGGGTTGCATACCCCCCCCCCCCCCCCCCCCCCCCCCCACCCTGTTGGGTCGAAGTGTATTAATCTTTTATCAAAATGTCAATAGAAGGAAGCTTTTTCATAAGTAAACTTTTTATGTATGATATTCATCAAATTTGTCTCTTTGATTTCTATACTTGGATACGCTTTCTAAATTCTTAAAGGTAAAGACCAGTTATGGTCATGCGATTGCATTGTGAAAGAAACGTTGTGGAATCGATCAGAAAAGGTTGATCATCTAGCATCTAGCATCTGCAAGGTTCTGGAATTATCAAAATGATAAGAAATTTGGCCCATTCTTCGTAAAGTTACAAGGACTATACACAGAAAGATGTATATGGGACTACCCTATATCTCTCACAGACCATGAGAGAAACAAATTTACCAAATATATGAATTAGTAGGCGGTTTCCCGGCAAATTTTTTATCATCATGTATTAGTCAAAACATATTCTTTCACATGATTGGTAATGGGAGCTTCCATTTCATTTTTTGAAATTGGGGAGTTTCCAATACTGGTCTTTACCTTTAAGGTTGTTCTTTAAAACCATAGAAATTAGAAACAAATCAAATTCACTAGATTTTGGCTTCCTGAAACATTCTTCTGTAGGTTCTAATTTATTGAAATGTTTCTTTTTAGTTCATGTAACTTCCTGAAAAATGTGCACTGTTTATAACTTCCTGAAATTATCCATATCTTGTCAAAACCACCAGATTGAGACGGAGCACATGGAACACTCTACAGCAATTCAAAGATGGCCGTCTGAGTCAGGTGATGGGTCAGGTGCTGTCACATGACCCTATAGCACCCGTCCTGACCATCTGGCATCTGGAGGCTCTGGACAGACGTCTCAATGACATCATTGACACCATGCACAACTGCTTCACCAAACATGGAGAAGATGTAGTCTTAATGGATTGAGTCTACTCGTGGACCTACTGAGGAAATGAAACTGGTCCTGGTCCTGGTCGTGATTGTCAAAGACCTTCCATCAGAATTGACGGCATAGATCTATAATAGACGCGGGGGTTGTCTCACGAAACTCTGTGACAGTTGTATCTTTGTTTGCAATCTTCAGAGATGTCAGGAAGCGAACAACCCGTTTCACAAAACCACAATAATTTCAACTTTACTTGAGATGGCATTCTAAAAAGATATGACAGGTTTGGAGTCGTGACAATGCTCTTGAAGAAGTTGTCGCTCATCTTGGTTTTCTTGAAACAACTCTCTGTTTTCAAATTGTATGCATACTCTTTGAACAAAAGTTTCACTCTTGCCAAATACTTGCCCGACATAGCAACAACTGATTTATGCATTGTTTACTCTTTATGTAGAGCGGGTCAATCAAATAGTTGATAACCCAGTGTTTGGGAGATAAACAAGCATAAATTGAAATACATTAGTTAACAGGTCTATTGCTACATGTATACCACATTTAATAGAGATGGGGTCTGCGATAAATGATGCACAACTAGATATGTGTGATCTACAATGTCATGTGTGCTAATGGATCCAGTGATGTGCAAACATGAGTGATGACATCTACAATTGATCTGCCAACCTAAAAAACGATATGGTCGTCTTGATGAAATAAGCATACTTAAATGCACCACACAATATGTATTATTCAAGTTAGTTTCAAGTTTATATGTCCCACATTTTACAAAAAATATAGACATACATATAAGATAAAAATCACACAATACATGTAGTATAAATGAGCACGTCTCAATTATTCTCAATTCATATATTAATAGATTAAGTAGAATGTGAGGAATTTATTAAAAGCAGTTCTTGTATATCATAGGTTCCTGATAAAAGAAGTATTGTTGAGGAAAAAACCGAAGCAGTAGAGAAAGACGTAAGAGGGGATAATTTAAAACACAATGAAATATGTATACAAAATAATGCATTAGCACCAATACCCAGAGTAATGAGAGTATACCCAGATTATCTGCATATGCTTAATCAGGCATAGAGGAGATGAGCTCCAATGCACTGAATATGATGTACCCAGAGAGATATTCCGACATTGGTGATGGCTAGACCCAGGTCAAAGGTCATTCTCTAAGACACTGGAATTTACATGAATTTCTATCTGCATTCATTTCAGGAATTTCAAGTACATGTACGCATAGTTTCTTAAAATGGTTTCTCATAAAATTTCTTCACTTCACGTTTGATGTATCGAATAAGACACACAGATAAGTTAGTATGAGTAGGACCTTGGTTGCACGCAGCTACACTCTATCATCGTTGGTCAAACAGTTTTTGAGCGTCAAGTCACGGCCTGGCTGGAATGCTCTCAAGGGAGTGGGGATTGTGCACACAGTGTGTGCGGGCAAGCACTGAATCTAATGACCGGGGTAATATTAAGCGTTATATAAAAGCTGAATATTATTATTATTATTTTGTCATCCTCACTTGCCAATCATGTAGTACACAAAAAACCTGTCACAGTTTACCAGGGCATATCTGTAAAGGAGCCTTAGAAATATGGAAATCATGTAATTGTTCTGTGTCAGAATGGTGATTTTTTTTTCTCCAAACTTGTGCAGATACAAGATCATTCTAAGTGGGATGGACTTGATTAGTTTCCTTCTTGTTCTAGATATGCAATATTTTTCTACTGAATTTTAAATTATGCAATGATAAACCTTTTTATGAACACCTGTCACATAAACCTCATTTATTAGGAAGCGAATTAGATTAGATTTTATTTTTGGTCAAGTTTATGAACCTATGCAAAGGATTTACAAAGATTACCAGTTTGATTGGAAAATTTTAAAGAGAGATGATATGATATGATATAAGGAGGTGTGAAGAAGTAGATGAACTATTTTTCCTTATTTTTTAGAAAGAGATTTAAGGTAATTGCTTGGTACATATATTAGTGCAGTGCTTAGAAGTGGTCACAAATTCAATGGATTGAAATTGCTTGAAAATGCATGTAAATTGTCAATTATGTGTCGCAACTCCATGACCAATTATCTTTAGAATCAAAGGATTTAAGTAGTATTTGAAGTACAAAAAAAGGATTGTTCAAACATCCATGATAATTAGAACAGGATCATCCCTATAATGGAATATGCTAGCTTTTTATTTAGACTGGGCCACATTGCATAAAACTTACAATTGCTGGCAGGTAACTTTGCCATCATTATTATATACAATGGCAACGTCACTAGACAGCCAATCAAATCAAGGTTTCCCTGGAAATTACCATTAAAGCCCCACTGTACTACTTATAGCTACTTGCGCCCTCTATATGACAAACAATGCCTTATCGGTGACCATTGGTCCCCCATGATCCTCTTTTTCTTATGTTAATTGAGAGCAGAGTTGATGAGATATCCATCTGTCAGTGACCATCCTGGGTGGTCTAATCCCTCCTGGCCAAACTAGTACAGACAGGCTTTAATGGAAAAGTTACCATCTATGGTAAGTTTTATGCAATGGAACCCAGAAGAGCTAGCTCAATGTGTCTTCCACCTCAGATAGGGGAGCAAAATATAGTGGCACAGAAAGACAAACACCAGCAAATAGGAATGCAAAATGCATACTTGTTTAATATCCTAATGGTGTCACATAGAGATAGAACCACATCATGACCGGGGTAACTGTAAAGCGCTTAGAGACATCGTAGATGTATTAAGCGAGATATAAAAGCAGAATATTATTATTATCATTAGGATGTGGAGCTGGGACATGTACTACGATTGGGGAAGTTTTCTATATAGAGGGAGCAAGTAGCTACAAGTAGGACAGTGGGGCTTTAAAGCCTTCAACGTGGGCTTACGCCCATGGCCCATAAAGATTGGTACCCATTTTTCTCTTTTTTTCTTCGTGTTTTTCCCTTGTTTTTTCTCCTTATCAAATATTTTGGAAACATAATTCTGTTCCCCTCCTCCTAGAAGCGATCCTGGATTCACTTATACATCTCATACTTCCTCATGTTTAATCCCATCAAGGCGATGGAAACAAGAGTTTGGACTCTGTTTCAGATCAATCTCAACTCGTTACTATTTCAAACGGACACCTTCAGGTGATGTGGTTTATTATGTTTGCCAACTAATGTCCTTTGGCAAGCATTGATCTACATTTGCCAAACTAACTAATGTCCTTTGGCAAGACATTGATCTACATTTGCCACACTCCACCCAGGTGAAGTAAATGGGTACCTGATAGAAATTTATTCCTTGAAACGCAGCGCGCGTAACAGCTGCACTGCTAAAGCCAGGGTAATTATGCTGCATTATTGTAGAGCGTTTAGAAACTTCTAATAAAGTAAGTGTTAGGCGCTATATAAGCAAGGATAATTATTATTATTATTATGGCTTATCATTTGCCATCTTTCATGATAAGTAATATGTGTTGGACATTACCAATTGTTCAGGTTCAGAACCTTTATAAGTCATACCAAACGCAGTAGGGTTTGAACTATAAGACGAGACTGCACCATCCGTCTCCTTTATCGTCGCTTATCTAATTTGGACTCGGACATTCGGCTTCTTTGAAGAAAGTTTGGTTTGTTAAACAGGTAAATAAGATTTTTTGCTTGCAGACTAGAAATACATTTATGTTGAATGAATTTGTATACTGTACTTTACCATCAATTCTGAAATTTCATCGGGAAAAAAAGTTGTATTTTTTTTCCAGTTATTGAGTGAAATATATTTTTAATCTGTAAACAGGGTAGAATTATCAAATGTGCTAATACATGTAGTAAAAAGTACAAGTTCATATTATATTTGTTTGGTACTGTTGAATATACTCAACTCTTGAAAAACTATCGATCTCGTTTTGAAGACTTATCTTGCCAAATTGATAGAGTATTAGCAATAAAAGTGATATGTATTTTATGATTATTATGTCCTCGATTTAGATGATTTCGTCTTGATATAAATTATTGGAATACATTATTGTTTGAAGAGTTATGAGAGAGTGGGAAGAGAGAGAGAGATAGAGGGAGGGAGAAAGAGAGAGATGGAGATTAGGGTGAGAAACGGAAAGGTGAGGAGAGAAAGAGATGGGCATGTTAAGGGAGGGGAGGAGCAAAACAAGAGGGCAAAACGGGGAAACGAATAGGGGGTGGAAGGTAACGGATAAAAGGGGATGTAGAAAGACAGAATAAGCGATGTAGGGGGTAAAAAGGAGAGGGATGTAGGAAATAGGAGGGAGTGAGATTGGAGGGAATACAGAAAGAAAAGTGGCAGTAATAGATAATGAGGCGAGAAATGACAGAGAACAAGGGGTATAAAGTAGGAAATAGACTGAAGGAAAGAGGAAATGCCTGAATATTTTTTTTCTTTCAATAGTCAGAATGCGAATAGCATGTAGGCTAACATTAATGCGTCCCTATGTTGACGAAGTGACGGTAGTGAATGAAAATCGCATACAATTTGCGTGTGGATTTTCCTCACTACCGTCACTTCGTGAAAACAGGAACGAATTGTTAGGAGAATGAATATATGGCTGGTCCTACATAACAATACGTAAAGTTTATGCCATTCGCATTCTTGAATATTGAAATACAATTATTCGTAACAGGTGAATGAATAATTTGTAACGAGACAATTAACAAATATGTTTGCATTGGATTTAATTACATTGCGAAAATGGTCTATTTGGTGGGTGCAAACACTATGAATATGAAGGACAAAGAAAGCGGACAAAATATACAGTTCCTCAGGTAGATAAAGGAACATCCCTTCACTGCTATCATGTAAAAAGGTGAATATGCATGTGACACCTGTTCTACACATTTTTACATAATAGCAGTGAAGGGATGTTCCTTTGTCTACCTGACGAACTGTATATTTTGTCCGCTTTCTTTGTCAGTCATATTCAGGGGCGTACGCAGGATTTTTTCAAGGGGGGGGGGGGGGGGTTTAAAATCGGGCCCAAAATATTTTGCTCCCGAAAAATTTAAAATCGCGCCGGCCGAAAAGTCGCTCAGTGGGGGGGGGGGGGGGGGGGGGGGGGGGGGGGGGGGGGGGGGGGGGGGGGGGGGGGGGTTTTTTTTTCGAGCCCAAAAAAAATCGCAACGACAGCCATCCGAAAGTCTCTCAGGGGGGGGGGGGGGGGGGGGGGGGGGGGGGGGGGGGGGGGTAAGCGGACACTTTTTTTTTTTTTGGTTCGAAATTTGAAAAATTGACATTTTTCTTCGTTGGGGGGGGGGGGTAAGGTCACCTTTTTAGGTTAGCCGTGGCATATTTTTTTTTTTTTTTTTTTTTTTTAATAATAAAAAAAAAAAAAAAAAAAAATCCAAAGGGGGGGGGGGGGGTTCGGGTTAGGTTTTTTTAACACATAAAAATACCAAAGGGGGGGGTTTGGAACCCCCAAACCCCCCCCCCCCCCTGGTTACGCCCTGGTCATATTCATAGTGAGAAGTGACGGTGGAGACAACAGATCTACTTCAAAATAAACCACAGTAGATGGGGTGCTTTCCATTTTATACAAATCAAGTACCGAATTCGAACAAGTGCATTCATCTATTCACTTCTATCTCGAATAAAAACGCCGACATTCATATCCTTGAGTAGAACCAATTAGCAGAACTGCTGACGGCTATAGGTTCTAGTATTGTTTTATTTTTCACCGCACATCCCCACGACCTATTACATATTTCAAATGGCTTTCTCAGAGCGGGAGGAAAATAATGTAAGCACTCCACGATCAGCCTTAATTTCTTTCATTTAATTTCATTGCCAAAGATTCAAGCCCTGCCGCCTCACTAAAATGAGTTTGAGGGGGGCTTCGCATTGATATTGCTGCAGCTGAACAGCAAACCCATAGTATTTTCGAAAACCCAAAGTATATACAAAATCTGACCCCCCCCCTATCGTGCCCCCTTCAAATTTGAGACCCCAAAAGGCATTTGAAAATGTGACAAACTATATTTTCTCCCCTCCCTCTCCATATCATTGGATATCTTTATAAATGATTCAATACAATATAAGAGAATTCATTCACAAACAAATTATAGACAAACAAAATATAGACAAACAAATTATAGAAAAACTGAACATCAACAATTCTGTTAGAGTAGATTAAATACATGTTGTGTGAATAACTATCTTTATATAGCTAGAAGATGTTTGCAATTCCATGGAAGTAAACAGATTAGTGTAATATACGGGAAATGCATGAAAAGGCCTTAAACCTGTCATAAGGGATGCACATGATTGTATCCTTGTGGGGTTTGTTATGACAAACGTGAGCGACGTAAACTACAAAATAAAAAGTATTTTCAACTATCTCTCTTCCCCCCCCCCCCCCCCCCCTCTCCTCTAGCTATCATACTCTCTCTCT